TTTCGGGCCTGCTGTGTTCATCCAGCTCTACACCTTGTTATCTCAGATTCTCCAGCATCTGCAGTTCCTACTATCTCTGAAGCAAATTAATGCATGTCTCCAAACCTCTGGCTTTCTGCTTAGGAATCCATGCTGAAGTTCAGCTTAAGAATTATGGAAGATTTCTTGAGGAATACACCAATCAGTTGAAAGGAATTGAAGATGCATTGGATGACTCAGTTGGGGATGTCTGGGATTTCACTCTGGATCCAATAGCTCTCAAGGTATCTTTAAGAAAGTCTAATCTTAATGACTGGAACTTTGACAGTAGTGTTGAGTTTTTCTGGGCTTTTGAGTTTTGACTTGCTGTCATTAGGATGTGAACCAATCTCGTGCCCTCTACTTAGGAATTGCTGCAAATGTGAATGAGACGTTTAAACTAGTCGATTAATAAATCATCATTGAACCAACTGAATCTAAACCAGGAAGTTTTTTATGATGATTTCTGCATGTCATTAACATGATAGAGCTTGAGATAGAAAGATATGTTTGAAAGTAAAAGAGTGAATGTACAAAGTACTGCATTTCCCCATCCAATTGTGTACATGTTTACTTTGTGATAACAGTGTATGCTGTTAGCCTATCTGTTATGCTGTAAGCAATGCAAAATCTTGGCAGTTGTGTTAATTAAATATTTTTCAGTTTAACAATTTTTCAAAGTTTTCACAGATACTTGTTACATGGAGAAATGAAATGTAAAAATGCTGCATGGTATGTTAAAACTTAACATGCGTTTTCTGAAGAGGATTCATCCCTCACAGCATTGATGTGCATAATTAGTTCTGGTTTGCAGTCTACTGAAATCAGAATTCCCTTAATCTTCTCTAATCTAAGTACAACCGCAGCTTCCCAGCCTCTTTGCAAGTGCTGTATTTCTAGTATGATTGTTGTAAAATTGCTTGGTGTCCCCTCAAAGACTTCAACATCCTCCTTAACATTTATCCAGAATTGTTCACAATGATGGGGCCTAAACAATGTTCATAAGATTTAGCATAAATTTAATTGCTTTCAGCTTCTCCTTGACGTTGTGAGGAGCCTTCCATGCTCTGATGCACCCTTGTGTGATGATGCTAGAAGCTCCTTACCACCATGGTTGGCCCTCCCAGAAGCAGCATTGGGTGGAGGTATTAGATAAAGTAAGAGTAGTTAAGGGAGGAGTGGGACCGATCAGAGATCAAAAAGGGGATTTACACATGGAGACAGAGGCCTGGCTGAATGAGTACTTGGCACCTCTCTTTTTATTGCAGAAGAGGAGGATGCTGCCTAAGCCATAGTGACAGAAGGAATCTCACTAGAAATGTTCAAGATTAATATGGGAAGAAGTCTCGGATAGATTGGCACTTAAAGTTGACAAGGCACTGAGACTGGATGAGATGCATCCAAGGATTTTGAAGGAAGTGAGGGGAGAAATTTCTGGAGCACTGGCCCTGATCTTTCAGTTTTCCCTAGACTTGAGGGAAGTGCCAGAAGACTGGAGAATTGCAAACGTTACGGCCTTGTTCAAGAAAGGTTGTAAAGAATGTCCTAGCAATTATAGACTAGTTAGTTTAACTTAGGTGGTGGGAAGCTTAAAAACAATTATTTGCAATGGAATTAGTAATCATGTGGAAAAAGGCGTGTTGGTTGGAAGAATCAGCATCAATTTCTGAAGAAGGAATTGTTTAATTAATTGCTACTGTTTTTCCAAGAGGCTTAAGAACGGAGTGATGTGGTTAACATGAATTTCCAGAAGGTGTTTGATGCAGTCCCAACACGAGAGTGTTGAGGAAAGTTACAGGTCATGGTAAAAAAGTGACAGTATAAATGTGGATGCAAAATTGGCTATGTGGTATTAAACGGAGAGTAATGGACAATGGATATCTTTTGGGCTGGAAGATGGTTTTGTGGTAGAGTTTCCTGAGGTTGGTATTGGGACCCTTGCTTTTCCTGGTAAAATATTCTAGTGTGAACAGTACAATTTAAAAGTTTGCAGTTAACACTCAACCTGGAAAAATTGTAAACTGTGAGGAAGACCATGCAGAACTTCAAAAGGGCATTGACAAGTTGGAGTGTTTGGAAAGGAGGTAGATGAAGTTAAAATGCAAAGAAGTGTGAGGTGATGCACTTTTGTCAAAAGAGCATTGAAAGACTATACAAAGTTTGGGTGCAATTCAAAGGAGGGTGCAGGAACAGAAGTACCTGGCTGTATGTATGTACAGATCATTGAAGGTGGCAGGAGAAGTGGAGAGAGTAATGATTAATTGTGTTCTTGACTTTGTTAATAGAGGGCAGAGAATACAAGAGCCAGGTGATGATGGTGTACTTGTGTAAGACACTTGTTAGACCTCAGCTGCAGTACTGTGTACGTTTGTGGGTGCCACATTGTAGGAGAGATGCATTAGAGAGAGCTCAGAAGCAATTTACAAGAATGGTTCCAGGAATGAAAAACTTGAGTTATGAGGATAGATTGAAGAAGTTGGGACTGTTCTGCTTGGAGAGAAGATTTGATAGAAGTTTTCAAAATCATGAGTGGACTGGACAGAGTAGGTGGGGTGAAACCATCCCTGATTGTTAAAGACAAAAGAACAAAATGGCTCATTAAATGACGTACATATGAAGCAAAGGTGACAGGTGAAAAAACTTTTTCACACAGAAAATAGTCTTGAATGTACTGCCTGGAAATGTGGTGCAGACAGGTTCAATTGAGACATCCAAAAGGGCATTGGATGGTTATTTGGATAGAAATAGCATGCAAGGATATCGGGCAAAGGTAGGATATCCTTTGGCACTCGGTAATAGAACTAGTGCAGGTATGATTGGTCAAATGGCCGCCTCCTGTGCTGCAACAATTGTGTGATTCTGTGAAGTGCATTCCAAGAAAATCCTCCATGGCAGAACAGGCGAAGGAAGACTCTGCTTCTCCCTGGCTGTCGATGTAAGAAGTCGCTGCATGGGACTGTAGCCCTTTTTGAAGCAGACTCCATAAACGTTCAGTCAAAACTGCAAAATTAACTACAATCAATTCTGTATGGTGAACTCATCATTGACTCAAGATCTCTTGGGCATTCATACCTCTACTAAAGGGACATCTGCAAGTGAGATATGAAGATTATGGCTATTGACACTAACTTCTGGGAGACAGTGCAGATGGGCAGGATACTGAGAGGCTGACTGTTTGGAAGGACATTGGATGAGGTGAGCAGAATTGAAAAAACTCACCTGACCAACAGGATTTAAAGAAAACAGAGGCCACTGAATCATGCACCTTCTCAGCCTGCTATCTTTCCCTGTACTAAATGCAGCAGAGACCCTGCCAACTCATAGTAGGACTCCTGAGTCTCACAAGGTGATGCTTAATGCTGAGTTGACCAAAGTCAAATCAGTCCTAAGAGATGGCTGCCATCATTTAATCTATTTTCAGTGTGTTATCTTTGTCACGCTATTCACTTCTCAATTCTCTCTCTCTTTTACATTCAGCAGTGTTCTCTATAATGAACAAAAACAAAGTTGCTGGAAAAGCTCAGCAGGTCTGGCAGCATCTGTGAAGGAAAAAGCAGCGTTAACATTTCGGGTCCGGTTACAGCATCCGCAGTCCTTTCGGTTTTTATTCTCTATAATGAACCCTATTACAAGCTTTGTTTTTCAAGTCTATACTTTTGTCATCCAGGGTGATATAGATTGAATGCTGCTTCTTTTTGTCCCATGTGAATATATTCAGTCTGTTCCTGAACTATTCTTCTTTGAAGGTCTTGCATTGCGTATTTATGGTTTTACTGCCAACCTTTGATCTAGACTACTTGGGCCAGATAACTTTATGTTAACTAAAATTAATCATCCTGTGATTGAATGATTAATCACTTTTTTTCTTTTTTTCAAAGACCACTTTATACCTAATTAATATCTTAAACTAACACACATGGGGGAACAACCAACCAACAGTGACAGAAGCAAAGAATTGAGTTGAGAATGTTGGAAGGGATACAATTTTTAAATAAATGTTGTTTATCAAATTTATTTCAGAACTGTGATTGAGTCTTACATTCCAGTGATGTGAAACCACAATCTGGAATTGCTTTAATCATTTTGAAAACACCTGACCTGACTTCGAGAGAATTTTTCAAGTATTTTCATGTACCTGTAGATGGAAACATAGAGTCATAATAGTCATAGAGTCATAAAGTCATATAACACAGAAACAGACCCTTCGGTCCATCCAGTCCATGCCGAACATAATCCCAAACTAAACTAGTCCCACCTGCCTGCTGCTGGCCCATATAGAGTTCAAGGATATTTCTAAACTGTTAGATAACTGAGACAACGAACGAACCATTAATTTACAGTGAGGTCTGAACGACTAATAGATTGTCTTGTCAAGGAAAAATGATTAGATTGTCTCTTTGAGGCGGTCATCATTTAGAACATATGTGGTGTGAATGTTACTTGCTACTTGTCAGCCATGGCTTTCTGCGTTTGAACACGGGTTGCTATAGTTCAGAATAAAAACTCAAAAGAACTGCGGATGCTGGAAATCGGAAACAAAAGCAGACATTGCTGGGAAAGCTCAGGTCTGGCAGCATCTGTGGAGAGAAATCAGAGTTAACATTTTAGATCCAGTGACCCTTCCTCAGAACGTCCAAGCTGCCAGACATACTGAGCTTCTCCAGCAATTTCTGTTTTTATTTCTGCTGTGGTTATAGATTTGGTTTGATTGCCATGCAAAATGCAAATGGGGCATGAGCTTTGTTTGAAATTTGTGTGGGGGAAATAAACTAGAGGAAAAACAGTGGTCCTTATGGTACCTTGTGTCAGAAAGCAGTCAGCATAATTAGCTTAGAAGGCAGTTAGATATTTGCTATATCCACAGTCATGGTCTTAATGAAGAATTGCAACGTTGTTGAGCCAAACATCTAATGAAGGATTCCATCCAATCTTATTTTGGAAAATAGCTGGAAAACTAAAGTGAATTCTAGACAGCTGCGGCATATCAGTAGATTAGATCCAGGAGATATTGGTGAATTTTCAACATTCTTATAACTTCTAAGGGAATCCTTTGGGTTGAGGTTGAAAAAAGTAGAACTGGTTTATAGCACAAGTAGTTAGAAACCATTGTGTTAATGGTGCTTTATTTGTTTAATTAATTTTTCTATTCATTATAGAAGCCAGCCCCCTTTTTTTTTGTTTAAAACATGAAATCTAGTGCTATGGTTCTTTTTAGGACAAAGATTCAGGAAAGACATGGGGGGCAGCTTTTATTTTACACTGTAGTTCATTTGTGCAATAAACGCCAGAGGATGTGGATATGGGTACAGTTACAACTTTTAAAAAACGTTTGGATAAGTATGTGATTAAGAAATATTTGGAGGAATATGAGCCAAGTGCAGGCAGGTGGGACTAGTTTAGTTTGGGATCATGGTTGGCACAGACTAGTTGGACCAAAGGGTCTGTTTCCATGCTGTATCACACTGTGACTCCAGTTAATCGTTTAGTGCTTGGGCTTCTATTTAAATACTAATGGTATCTAACAAGATTAAAGGTCTCCTTTTGGAAGGAGAAATTCCAGTGGTTTATGCAATTAAAGCTAGGACATTGGGTAGTATTGTAGAACAGAGAGCTAGGGGTTCAGGTACAAAATTCTTTGAAGTTTGCATCATATAGACAGGGTGGTTAAGAAGGCATTTAACATGCTTACCTTCATTGTTCAGTATTTTGAGTATAGGATTTGGGATATCATGATGAGTTGTACAGGACATTGGTGAGGCCTCTTGTCAAGTGCTATGTCCATGCTGGTCACCCTGTTATGGGAAGGATATTATTAAACTGGAGAGGGTTTAGAAAAGATTTGCCAGGATTGGAGGATTTGATTAATAAGGATAGGCTGTGACTTTTTTCAGTGGATTGTAGGAGGTAGACGGGTGACCTAATAGAGACTTATAGAATCATGAGGAGAATGGAGAAGGTGAATGGCAGGTGTCATTTCCCTATGGTGGGAGATTTCAAGGCTAAAGGGTTTATTTTTAAGGTGAGAGGAGAAAGCTTTTAAAAAAAGACATGAGGGGCAAACTTTTCACACAGAGCACAGTATATATGTGGAATGAACTTCTGAAAGTGGTAGATAGGGGTACAGATACAGCGTTTAAAAGACATTTGGATAAGTATGTGAATACAAAATGTTTGGAGGGATATGGGTTAAGTGCAGACAGGTGGGACTAGTTTAGTCTGGGATTATGGTTGGCGTGGACTGGTTGGACCGAAGGGCCTATTTCCGTGCTATGTGACTCTGACTCTATCATTAATAGTATAATTACTTAGAAACTAAGCAACCTGCTGAACTGTTTTGGTCACCTGTTTCAATGAGGCTAACATGAGAGAAGTGTCAAAAGCCTGTGGAGATGTCCACTTTCAGGTGGATTTGCAGCAGCTTTTAGCGAAAGCTAAATGTGATGTTGAAGGTTTCATTCTGGATAAGTGCAGTCTGTAACAAACTGAGGCAGTACTGAGGTCGTATCAGGACGTTTATGCAATATTTCTAATCTGGTCAAATGTTGTCCTGCCTTATGGTATCACCATCAGCCTGAGGGAAAATTGATCATCGATCGGATAGGGCATCTTTTTGATCTGGAATGCACACAGAATGTAGGGCTACAATCCCAAGAATATGGCAATTTAATTAAATTTGATTTTTTTAAAAAATAAGCTAACTTTGGTTAAACTGGCCATGGAACTGGTGGATTGTCATTTAAAAACTGAATTGGTACACTAATGAGTTAGAGGGAAGTAAATTTTCCATCTTTACTTGGTCTGTCTTTTTTGTACTATGCCCTATGACTGGGTTGACTGACTCAACTTGTGACTGACTCTTAATTGAGCTGGCAAGCCAGTCAGACTGTACTTTGTAGTGGAGGTACATTTCACCATCCACTTTATTGCTTCAAGAATGCCACTTTCTGTATCCTTGTCTATGTGGGTATTGGGTAAGGGGATCAGGCTCATTGTGGTACTTGTGGGCATGTTTTGACAGTGGCTGATGTAAATAACTGAAACTGTTAGACAGCAACAGATGACTGACACCATGTAACTGCTTGCCAGTGAGGGAGTTGCTGCATTGACTGGGAAGGAGAAAGTGATAAAGAGGGGAGAGTACAGTTTTAGTGTTATACAGTATTGAATATTACAGCATGATTGAATTACTTGTGTGGGGGGTCATGCAGAATTGTGATTAAGCACTTTGTAATTTTTGTTTTAGCTTTTGCCATATGAACAATCTTCGTTGCTGGAGCTTATTAAAACTGAAAATAAAGTAAGTTGATATCCAGTAATAAATTTGTCAATCACATTTAAATATTATATCAGTTATGTTTCTATATTGTCAATACATTTTAATGAATCTAGAATATTAATATATTTTCTGTCTGTATTTTTAGTTGGTGGTTTGGTTTTGTGGGTGGAGTTTGCCATTCTGAAAGTAGTTTCCGACCATGGCTCTTGCCATTTTCCATTATCTGTTATTGGGTTGATGCTGTAAAGAGGAAAGCTGAACAGGTGAACCACAGTCATTGAAAGCATAAAATGATACGTTAAGGGGAACCTGTAATGATCGCTGAGTAAGATGAAGATGCTATTTTGGCTTCGGTTACTGGACTCAAGCCCCTGACGTTGCCTCTACTCGGTCTACTTATTGACTTCTGACCTTGCCTACTGGGTTTGATAACTGGGTATATGATGAGAGAGGGAAATGGCCCATTGTAATTCAGAAGGTATACCATGGAGGGGTGTGTGTGTGCGCGAGAGTAAGAGACAACATGGGAAGGAGAAAAAGGTAGTGTTGGAAGGATCAACAGCCAGGGATGGAGAGTGTGGTTTATGAAGAGGAGGAGCATACAGCGTGGTAGCAAAGAGGGAGGAATGGGCCGGGAAAGGTAAGCTCTGATGGGGGCAGTATAAAGGGGTATTTTCATGATGAATTAGGGATTTTAAAAACATACTTGTGCAATAAAGACACTAGTTACATAATGAGATAACAAGGTGTAGAGCTGGATGAACACAGCAGGCCAAGCAGCATCAGAGGAGCAGGAAGGTTGACGTTTTGGGCCTAGACCCTTCTTCAGACCCTTCTTCGTTTTTCTGCCCGAAACGTCAATCCTCCTGCTCCTCTGATGCTGCTTGGCCTGCTGTGTTCATCCAGCTCTACACCTTGTTATCTCAGATTCTCCAGCATCTGCAGTTCCCAGTATCTCAGTTACATAATATGTTTTGTGGATCTTTGCTAGTTAGCTATAGTTACAGAATTAATTTGTCAAAAAGATACAAGTTTTCTATGTATATCTGGTTTCAGATGTGGTACTGAGGCAGTGATAGCTTATCACTTTGTTTAAATTGACAGCTCAGGTTAGCTAAATGTGTTAGTGATCACTGCATTTGTATGAAGGGTTACGACGGGAAATTTCCATACAACAAAGTTGAAGTCACACTTGCGTTTTTGTGTTGGATTTAAATGTAAGAATAAATGAAAGCTTTGCTATCGAAATGAGTAACTGTAGAAGGTCTAAAATGTGGAGTTATGTTGCTAGTGGATAATGCTATAATTTGACTGTTTGCTAATTAAGTGAAAATGTCTATTGTAGGTCCTGAATAAAGTGATTACGGTGTATGCTGCTCTTTGTTGTGAAGTAAAGAAGTTGAAATATGAGGTAAAAACTTTACACCTTTTGTTTCCTATGTGCTAAGGAAAGCAGCATTTTTAAAATGTTTTTAAAGTTACCTTGTGTTTCAGGGGAAAAACGTATAAGTTAGCTAAGCTAAAAATGCCTTACTTTTTAAAAAAAGTTTAAAAATGATTTCTCTCTTTTCAGGCTGAAACTAAATTTTACAATGGGCTTCTGTTCTATGGAGAAGGAGGTTAGTTTTGTACTCTACTTGAAATGTTTACATTTACATCTTCATAGGGAGGGTGCAAAATATTCTGCAGGGAGAAGGGAGTGAGCCAAAAGTTGTGGTGCATTACCAGTACCAACACTGGGACCAGTCAGGACGTAATTTTGCAGCAGGCGGTAATTAATCAAAAGGTTGTACCTCAACCATACTGGAATTACACCCCTTGTGGGGAGGTGCACCAGTGTGGTCACGGGTGGGTTTAAGTTAAATTTGCAGAGGGATGGGAACCAACATTTTGAAGTAGAAGAAGGTCTATGGATGGAGAGTGTAGGCTGGTATTTGAGAACGATGTAGATAGTGGAGTAAGAATAAATACGAGGTGAACAAAGACAAGTTTAGAATGCATGTGTAAACATAACGTGAATAAAAGTTGAGCTGTGAGCACAAATAACAGTGTAGAAATATAAAGTAGTTGCAATAAGAAAAGCTTGGCTTAAAGCAGGTGAGTGCTGGGTACTTAATATTCAAGGAAGTCAAATGTTCAGGAAAGATAGGAAGGAGAAATGGGAGGCGGGGTAGCAGTACAGATTAGAGTCATTAGTGCTGGAAAGAGAGGCCTTGATGGGCCAAGGACAGAATTTATTCTCACTGAGTAGAGAATTGAAGAGCATATGATTGTGCTCCTGGGGTATTCGTAGATTTTCAAATTGAGAGAGCAAGAGGAGCAAAACTGAAGAGAAATTACAGATGTGCAAGAAATGTACATTGGAGATCTTAGGGCATTTCACCCAAACATCGAATTGAATAATGCAAGAGTAAAAGGTAAAGACAGGAGAGGCAATCCTCATTTGTTCAGGATGACTTGCTTAACCAGTGTCTTCTCATTCCAGTTGGGAAGGAGCCATTGTTGAATCTTTTTCTGTGGAATGGCCTGGGCCAAATAGCTTAAGTGTCTTTAAGGAACACCTTTTATAAAGATTGTTGTATCAGGAGATGATATCTTTTCAGTCTGGCTATATTTCAACAAGGTTGGGGAACCAAAACCAGGACTCCTGGTTTATCCAGGGAAAGAGAGAATATGATTAAACAAAAGAAGGAAGATGTATGATGAATTTGATACGATTCTGTTGATTCGATGGTCTGGAGGTTGCAAGTGGTAGAAATAAAGGTAACGGAAGAATTTACCCATAATCTTTCAACATTTCTCTGATACAGAGAGAGTTCCTGAGGATTGGATTGTGGCAAGTGTGATACCTTTTTTCAAGAAAGAATGTAAGGACAGTCCTAATAACTGCTGGGCAGTCAACTCAGCATCAGTGGTGGGTAAAGTTTTAGAAATAATCAAGGAAAGAAAATAACAGGCACTTGGAATATTTTTGGTTAATTACGGAGAGTCAACATCTTTTGTAAAGGACACATTGTGATTGACTGATTTGTTGCTAAGTAACAGCTTGAAAAAGGAAATGCAATGGATGTTGTCTATTATGGAATTAATGTTTGACAAATTGCCATACAAGACTGGTTAAAAAAAATTGAGGTTAATGGAATAGGAGGGTAACAGTCAACTTTGGAGAAAAAAAAATTGGTTAAGGACAGAAAACAGTGAGATGTGGTAAATGGTAATTTTACAAACTGGGCCATTGGAGGCAGTGTTATTGCCTAATAAAGGTCACTGCTACAGTCACTGCATTTTCCTGTGACTTGGATATTGGAATATAGAGCAAAATTTCAAAACTTGATGACGTTACCAAACTTTAAGTTGTGGCCTGCATTGAAGATGATGCCATTTGATTGCAACAGACTGTGTGGATAAGTGACAGGTGGAATTTAACACAGAGGTTTGAGGTGATGAATTATGGAGGTGAAGGGATGGTGTGAGGATGCATGTGCTTTGGGATAAACCTGTCTTCTTCTGTGTAATGACCCTTTAAGACCAAAGTGGACTGGGAAGTATTCTGAAAGAAATGAATACACCTATTCATTAATTATTAATTAAGTATTCTTAATTACTTTTCTGATAATGACATTGTGTTGATCCAAGAAATGCCTCGATTATTTGAGGTTACCGTGGGGATGAACAATAATGAAGGAAAGGATTAAAAAAAAAACTAACTGTAGTTAGTTTGGGTGACCCTGTTCTTTTTTCCTGTTTGCAGTTCATGAAGTATAGAATCCATGTACAGAGAAAACAAGCAACGTTCTCTCTGGTGTTGAAGGAGGTTCTGAAAATAATGTAAAGACTGTGTTACTCGGTGTATTATACAGTTGGAAAAAGCAGAGCTGAAGACTAGAGGGGAAAGGGATTGTGGGTTTGAGAAAACCCATTGCTGCTCTTTTGGGGTGGCCAGAGCCCACCAAGAAAGGCTGAGAGTTTGGAGAAGGGAGTGTCTTGAGTTCTGTACCATCAGGATGGTTATAACTCAAGTAAGAGAAGATTTGTCCACCTTTTTTAGTGGTGACATCATCCAAGGACTTTGGATGGGATGCGGCTTCAAGTGAAAGCAGTTGAAGGCCTGAAATGGAGTGGAATATGAGAAATTTTGTGTAGTCAAGGCCATGTTGGAAGAACAGTAAGACAATCAACCCCATTTGTGCAGGAAGTAATGTGTGCTTTTAACTATATAAAGTAATCTTTGCATTGAATATTTAAGGTGCAATTTACCTAATTTGAAATTTTCTTCCCATTTGAACTATTTTGATTTTCTTTTACTTGTTACTGTAAAAACAGATATGAAATCCTGTATATTGGTTTTCTTACCATTGGTTCATGTCTATTCCTTTCTAGGGGAATTGTAACAGATTGGGGGTTGTCTGGTATCTACATTAGAATTTTCCAGAATTTAAACAAACAAGATTTCAGTTTTACTTTTGCTGTATTCAGTGGCAATCGATTTGGATGCCTTCTGATAGACAAACAATTTTGGAAAGAATAGATTTATCTCTTGGTGCCTTTGAACAATTAACAAAGGTTAATGTTAAGGCTGTGGCAAAGGAATGTAGGATCGGAATTTAGAACAATACATTTTTGAATTTCATGGTGCAGCACCTGAAGCTTAAGGATCAACTCATTCAGGTCAGATTAGTAAATTGATTAGAAAAAACAGAATTGTAAAGAGAGAACTGCAAAATCTTGAATTCAAAAGAGATTAATAAGTAAACTAGAAATACAAAACTTGAATTAGTTGGAAAAAGTCTTAGAACTTTGGAAGAGAATTGTGAGGATTGCCTGAGATTTTTTGATTTGGCAAAGAATATTTGCTTGGGACCCAAATTTGAACGAAGAAGAGGTAGAAATAATAATCTGTGTATTTGAGAAAGTTGCTGTAAAACTGAAATGGGTGAAAGAAGGTACGACTGCTTTTGTGGGAAAAGCTTTGAAGGTGTATTCATTTCTTTCAGAAGAACAGAAACTGTGACTGCGGAAAGAATACTGTTCTTGTTGCCTGTGAGTTAGTACCAGAAGCCTAGATACAGCAATTTAGAAAGTTGAAAAGAAAACTAAGTCAATGAAGGTTATGAAGACTTTGAGAATCTTGGGGAAATAGTTCAGAAGTAAGAATTTAAAAATATTGTCTCTGGCAAAAGGCCCCACCAGAATGAATAAAAAAGACATGAGCGTAAAATAAAGGATGCTGCAACTGTTGTGGATGATCATAGATTGAGTCACCAGCATATTAGTAACAGGCCCCAGTTTGGAATCTCCCAGAGAATCTGGAGAAATGGAGAGTTTGATATGGGAAAAAAGAAGTTGTGGTGAGGAAGATGGTAAAAGATCAGTAAAAGTGAAGGTCTGGAGGTTAAGTTTGATTTGAGGCGAACAATTTGAGATTTTTTTCTTAGAAGTAGTACATGTAAAGGGTGAATATTGGAAGTGGAAAAGCAACTATATAGCATTAGAATAGTGCCCCTGCAGAATATACAGTCTTTGTGGGACAAGCCAATAGTTTTGCCTTTTTTAATAATCATGGTGTAGGAAGTGTGAAGTGTTTCAAATTTTATAAGACGAGAGCTGACGTTTAACCTAAGAGGTGTAAGAGCAATGTAGTTACTGATGTTGTTAGGTCATGAGAAGCTCTCTTCAAAAAGGTTGCAGAATAAAGAAGTATCATTAGAATTGGTTACCCATTTCATTCTGTAGGGTTAATTTAAAATGTGACAACATTAATAGTCTTGTTACTGTAGGAGTCATTCCTAATTTGCCCGTTGAATGACTGGATTTTTTTGGGGGGAAATTACTTGCCTCGGGAATTTCTAGTGGATTCTGGAAGACATGCGAGGGTTGAGGTGACTAAAATGCTGTGGGATGAATTTCTTGGATTACTTCAGTCCATGTTCAAATGGAACAAGATCTGGACAATATCCAGGCTTGGGCTGACAAGTGGCAAGTAACAATGGCACTACAAAAATGTCTGGCTATGACCATCTCAAATAACAGACAATCTAACCACCACCCCTTGGCATTCAATGGTGTTACCATCACTGAATCCCCCCCACGGTCAATATCCTGAGGGTTATCATTGACCAGAAACTCAACTGGACTCACCACATTAACACAGTGGCTACAAGAACAGGTCACAAGCTAGTAATAGTAATAGTTAGAAGCAACAAATCACTCACCTCCTGACTTCTCAAAGCCTGTCCACCATCTGCAAGGCACAAGTCAGGAGTGTGATGGAATGCTCCCCACTTGCCTCGATGAGTGCAGCCCCAACAACACTCAAGAAAGCTTGACACCATCCAGGACAAACAGCCTGCTTGATTGGCACTACAACCACAAGCACCCACTCCCTCCACTGCTGACGCTTAGACAGCACTGGGTACCATCTACAAGATGCACTGCAGAAATTCACCAAAGATCCTCAGACAGCACCTTCCAAATCCATGACCACTTCCATCTAGAAGGACAAGGGCAGAAGATGTATGGGAACACCACCCTCTGCAAGTTCCCCTCCAAGCCACTTGTCATCCTGACTTGGAATATATTGCCATTCCTGCACTGTCACTGGGTCAAAATCCTGGCATTCCCTCCCTAATGGCATTGTGGGTCAAGCCACAGCAGGTGGACTGCAATAGTTGAAGAAAGCAGCTCACCACCACCACCTCCTCCAGGGCAATAGGGACGGCCAATAAATGCTGGCCAGCCAGCCAGCCTTGCCCACATACCACAAACGAATCAAAAAAAAAACTACTGGATTGTGTTGCATCTGTAGATCCCAAGCTGATCAGACTAGCCAGATAAATTTGTAATGGGAGACAATTTGAAGGTTGATTATCAGAGAGTATTTATAGGGATTTGAATGAGGAAGGAGGTGGTGTTTAACAGGTCTTCTCTGTTTGAAGCACAACCAGTAGATCCAGCAAGGAGGAGCTTGCGTCAGGCAGCATTATCTGAAGCTGAGAAGGACCCCATGTGGTATTACGCAAAAAATGACGTTTTGATGAGGAGGTGGAAACCTTCCCACAGACAGTTGATGTTGTTTTGGCAAATGACGAAGGGTCCTGACCCGAAACATCAACTTTCCTGTTCCTCTGATGCTGCCTGACCTGCTGTGTTCCTGCAGCTCCTCACTGGTGACTAAAAAGTTGTCCTTCCCTGTTACTGTAATGAATTTCTGAGATTCCAATTGCAGGTTATGTAGATATTTGGGACATTCGGGCAAGAATAATGATGTATTGGCATTGACTACATAGGAATAGAGTTAATTATCAGGATATGTCAAATTGTTGGGAGGCCCCAGCCTTCAATCAACTAGGTCCCAGTTAACCAATAACTATTTCTGAGCCATTTAGCAGGATTTATATTAATTGTGTTGAATCCCTGGAAAATGGAATTGGAGCATAGGTGTTTCTTAATCATGAGGGACTTATCCATTTGGTTTTCAGAGACAGTATCCTTGAGAAAAATCACAACAAAAGTTGTGATTCAGGAATTAATTTGTTTATATCCAGGTTTGGGTTTCCAAAAGAAATTGTCATACTGGTATCAAATTTCATGTCACATTTCAGGAGATCATGTGTGCTTTAGTAATAGAGCGGTTCAACTCAGATTATCACCTGTGGCTCCAAGGCTCTTTTGGGGTATATCCCCAAATTTTCAAAAATATGATGAAAGCCAGTTGCCTTGAGTGTCCCCAAGACACACAAAAAAAATGGTGGTGTTCTTGTTTGCTACAAGGGAGACATCAAATGAATCAACCAGGGTTCAATCCTTTTGAATTAACCGATGGGTATAAGGTTAGGAAACCTGATCTATGAAAAGAATAAGAGTATGAGTGCAGATGGGCCTGATCATACCTCTGGTGTGCGAGGTGGAGGCAGGAGAATCTACCCCAATTATGCAGGACTCCCACTGACCCAAACCCAGGAACTAGCCCAAGATCAGGAAGGAGGTACAATTCGTGCTAGGTTAATGATGTAATTAAACCCAGGTACAGTAATTGGAGTTCTCTTATGCTGGTACCTAAACCAGGAGGGTCTCAGAGATTCTGAAACTTACTGCACTAACTAAGACATGTCCAATTAATATCTCTTAACGGTATGGAACAGTGATTATGTCCTCTGTTACATCTGGCCCAGATGTAACAGAGGTTCAAGTCCAAATTCAGAATTTGTTGACCATGGAAGGGCATTATAACATTTTTATTTTAAAAAAACCTAGTCTATAAGCATCGAGGTTTTTTTATTCATCCAGTGAATATGGGAGTATGAACTTCACTAGCTGGACCTGCATTTTCCATCTGTAATTGCTGTTGAAGTAGTGGTACACAGTGAACTTGTTTCTCTTTTTTAGTTACAGATTCGTGTATGGTGGAAGGGGAGTCACAGATCCAGATGGGCAGGTTTATTTCTTTTTTACAGGTATGCTGTCTCTTTTAGGTTCATGGTTGTTTCAGTGCTCATGTTAAGGATAAAAAAGATTATATTTCCTCAGTGTACAGGCTGAGTTTACGAGCTGATTTCAGATACACCTCTTGGGGGAAAGAACTGATTTTGCTATCCATTATGAAAATAATTTGTATTGATTTAAAAGCAAAATGCTGGTGATCTGAAATAGAAGTTGTTATTGCTAGTGAAACTCAACAGGTCTGGCGTGGAGAGAGAAACATAATGTTTTACGTACAATGATTCTTCGTTAACTCTCTTCTCCCTCCACAGATGCTGCCAGATCTGCTGAGTTTTTTAGCACTTTTGGGATTTATATTGAAATTATGTCTTTAAGCCTAGCTTCTTTACCTTTTGACTTAAATACATCATCTCTAAATGATGAGCTAGTTTTTAAACTATTCATAGATTTTCATTGACAAGGAATTGATCTCCTCTTGATTACTTTTAAAAACTCCAAGCTAGTAGTGACATCACCTTTTCTCCCTCATCTGGAAGGGGGTGAGCATGCCAGCAGATCTGCGAAGTTTTGATTGTCACAATCTTCAAGAAAGGAGATGAGACTGATTGCGATTATGACAAAAGGGTGTCCCTGCTGTCTACTGCAGGAAAAGTCATTACAAACGTACCCATCTATTGTTGCCTACTAGTGGCAGATGAGCCCTTGCACAAGATGGTCTGAGTCATTGCGCAGTGACCACAGCTCATCTTGAAGGCAAATATTTCATTGCAGCTAGCAAACGTTGTTTGGAGCCATGACCATTCAGGAAAGCTTCAGTCTTCCCAAAGAGATAGCAAGATCTGCGGATGCTGGAGTGAGAGATAACCCACTATGGAGCTGGAGGAACGCAGCAGGTCAGGCAGCATCAGAGCAGGAAAGTCAATGTTTCTGGTCAGGACCCTTCATCAGCACTCTGAGGCGAAGGGGAGCTGGGAATTAAATAGAGGAAGGAGGGCTGGGGCTGGGGATGGCGATAGGTGGATATAGGTAAGTGTAGTGGGGAATGGTCAGTGGGAAGGGTGGGGCAGATAGATGGGAAAGAAGATGGACAGATTGTGTCAGCTCAAGGAGGTGGGAATGACAGGGAGGGTTGGACATGGGATGAAGCTGGGGGTGGGGAGATTTTGAAACTGGTGAATTCTATGTTTAGGCCATTGGGCTGTAGGCTCCCAAGGTGGAATATGAGGTGTTGTTCCTCCATTCTGCGGAGATACTGTTCCTGCAGATACAGTATATCCATTGCTCCTGATGTAGAGGAAGCCACATTGTTGAGACCAAGCGCAGACTCGGTGACCAATTCGCAGACCATTTACGGTCTGTACACTATAATCAACAACATCTTCTTCTGGTTGCCAATTATTTTAACTCCCTCTCCCGTTACCTTGGTGATATGTCCATCCTGGACCTCCTCCAGTGCCACGATTTTGCCACATGTAAACTGGAGGAGCAGCACCTCATATTCCGCCTTGGGAGCCTACAACCCGATGGCCTAAACATAGAATTCACCAGTTTCAAAATCTCCCCACCCCCAGCCTCATCCCATGTCCAACCCTCCCTGTCATCCCCACCTCCTTGACCTGACACAACCTTGTCCATCTTCTTTCCCACCTATCCGCCCAACTCTTTCCACTGACCAATCTCCACTACTCCATCTGCATCCACTTATCATCACCCCACCTACCTTTCCCCAGCCCCACCCATCCTCCTTCTATTTATTTCTGAATTCCCTTCCCCCTCTCCAGTCCTGAAGAACGGTCCCGACCTGAAATGTTGACTTTCCTGCTCCTCTGATGCTGCCTGACCTGCTGTGTTCCTCCAGCTTCACACTGTATTGACTTCAGTCTTCCCAAACTTTAAGTGTAGGAAATCTTTACTCAACCAGTAAACAAGAGAGTAAGACCAGAACCAGCAACAAGTAAGGAGCTAGAGGCACTGAGCATCATATCAGGAAAGTTATAAAGTGTCTCAAAGAGAAAGGAACTGCTGGTTCTCAAGCAGCTAAGTTGTTTCATTAGAACATAGCAGAAGGCTTGAAAACGGCAAAGTCCGATTAGGAGCAAGGTAGAAAAATAAAATAGCAAACAACAGAATCACAGGGTCAAAGGCTACACAAATGTGTCCTGCAAAGTGGCAGCCAAATCTACGTTTTTGTTTCCCCACTATGGAGCTCAGCATCAGTGCCTTAATTCATAGAGCATCCCACAGAGGGGACAACAGCCCTTCAAAAGTTTAAACTTTGTGGAATTATTACAGCTCATGTATGTGCACCAGAAATTTTAGAGTACTGATGCATGTCTCTCAATTTATGCTTTATTTCCCAGCTTCAATGACCCAGATACTGGAAGATTTCAGCCTATAATATTTATTAAATTCAGTTTCCAAACAGTATCCTGGCAGGATTTGAACTGCCAAGCTTAGGGTTATCTAGACTTGTAATTATCATTAGATTACCATACTCTCCTGACTCCCCAAAGCCTGTCCACAAATCTACAAGGCACAAGTCAGAAGTGTAATGGAATACCCCCCACTTGCCTGAAGGAGTGCAGCTCCAACAACACTGGAGATGCCTGACACCATCCAGGACAAAGCAGCCCACTTAATTGGCACTAAATTCACTCCCTTCATTGGCACTCGGTAGCAGCAGTGTTAACAATCTACAAGATGCACTGCAGAAATTCAACAAGAGTCTTTAAGTAGCACCATCCAAATCCACGACCACTACCATTTAGAAGGTCAAGGCAAGCAGATATATGGGAACACCACTACTTGTAAGTTCTATTCCAGTCCACTCACCATTCAGACTTGGAAGTATATCACTGTTCTTTCAATGTTATTGAGTCAAAATCCTGGAACTCTGTTTTTAAAGGAATTGTGAGTCTACCTACAATAAATGGGCAGTAGTAGTTCAAGAAGGCAACTCGCCACCATCTCCTGATGGGCCATTCATTATTCTATTGTTAGAATGTTAATTCATTCTGATGTTAATTCATTCTGATGTTATTTCTGTACATAGGAAATGTACAGCCAGCTTCTCAAACCCCTTTAGAAATATCACCAGCAACACCTCTTCAAAGTCCTACAAATCCAGTGGCAGAATAGGTGCTCTGATATGTCACCTCTCACAGAACAACATGGCCAGCATCAAAGCATGAGTTATAGGCAGTTGGTAACATCAGTTGGTAACACCTACATTGTCTGCATGCCTGACACGAGTTCCAAGAAAGTCATCAAGGGACTGCTGAAATAAAAAAAGAAAGATTGAGACTTCTGGCGTCTCTGTAGCTTACCTCAGTGAAAACTTACATTTTGGGACAACTGCAAGCTCTGTGTATAATGCTGAGTTGGGACAGAACATGTTGGAGGCTATTCCAGCAAAGGGCTATAGCATAATACCTGGATGTTCTTTGTGCTAGCAATGAAATTGCTGTGAATTTAGCATTAAACCAGTGTGGGATTAAATTAAAACTGTTTTATTAAACGATTGATACTGGTTCATATTAGCACAATAGAATGAAGTTGAAATAGGTATTAGTTCACCATAAAACTTATCAGTCAAATCAGGAAATAATAACAGAGCCAAAACAAATTACTTGGAGAAATTCAGCATTTCCAGCATCATCTTTTGGAGAGAGAACAGAATAATTGTTCCGAGTAAACGGTCATGGGATTTGCAGCATTAATTCTGTTTTCTCTGTACAGATGCTGCCAGATTCACTGAGTTCTTCCAGCAATTTCTGTTTTCATTTGTTTCAAATCTCCTGCATCCACAGCTCTTTGTTTTGTTTTAATGGTAAGAGGGCCTCCAGTCACAGTTTAATTTTAGCTGCAGTGCTCTGGAAGCAAGTACAAAAACTTGGGGAAGTCTTATGGTGTAGGCAACTATATAGTAAGCTTTTGTTCCTTCAATTAGTTGACCTTCCATATTTACTGTAGAGCTTCATTGAGTCGGCTTTCTCTCAAACTTTATGCCATGTATCTCTGCTCTTTCTTTGTATGGTTTCTTGAGACTGAGAAAGCTGCCTGCGTGGATTTTGAGCCTGCAATTTTATTATTATAATTACTGACTCCAACCACTTGAGTTAACTGGTTACCACATCAAAACATTTCTTTTGTATGCAACAACATAAGGGAGTTTTCTGGCTTATTGCAGCTGGTCTTCCCAATTTTGTGATTAGCTACTTTCCATGGTTAATTGAAAAACTTGCAACCAATTATGAGCGTCATTTAAAAGTAAATTCAAGTTGCCTTCATAGTTCAAGTTTACAACTGATGAAGCAGGTAATTAAACTTCTAAACTTATGATTTTATTCTGCATTGTTTAGTATAAATTCTTGACTCTGTCACTTCATGTCTTATATGGACATTTGCTTTTGGCAGGTGGGTGTTATATCCCTCCCTTGGACATGGCTTTTCCTGGCTGCATTGCAGTGACCTCTGATCTGAACAGTTGCCTTGCCTGCGTTTACTGACCACATTTCTTTGTATGCAAACAGAAGTGCATGTGTTCTACTAGAGTTGGTTTCTATTGAACAAATAGAAATAGTTTTACTGGCAGGTTGGTCATTAATTAATAATTTGCAAAGAGCAGTGGGGAGATGAATTTTCTTTTATGCCGTGAATTGTTGGCCTGCATCTCGACCTAACAATACTGCACTTTTTTTTTTCTCGGATCTTCTGATCCTGGCTGAAGAAGAAATGTACAGCCCACTGTCTCCTGGAGAACTCCCAACAGATTGCAATAGAGTTAGGAAAAGATGTCAAGTTACCTTATGGCTTCAGTTGTCTTATTTGATAATGAGTGGAATTAAAGTCCACTCATTAAATGAACAAGCAAAGGGGAGATAGATGTGTGGGTGGGTGGTTGAAGCTGGGTTGATAATTGGGTGATCAGGACCATTGACTGTTGTGGAATTACCCAGCTGCTGGACTAGGCTTTAAGTTGTCTTGCATTTCCTGGATACTTAGCCAGGTAAATCACAGATCTGTCCAAGTCTCTGACTAAAGCTCAGTCTCAGAGACCTTTGAGAAGGGTCCTGGGGCACAGGTGATCTGCCCATTGAAAGTTCCCATCTAAGT